CAGCAGGCTGCGTGCGAAGCCTTGGTCAGCATGGCTCAGCACGGGGAGGCTGACAAGGTCAAGGCGCGAGAGGCGGGAGCGATCGAGGCCGTCGTCAGCGCCATGACCACGCACACGGACGACGCGGGGGTACAGCAGGCTGCGTGCTGGGCCTTGAGACATACCGTCGGTCGCATCGAAGACAACCAGGTGTGGGCACGAGAGGCGGGAGCGATCGAGGCCGTCGTCAGCGCCATGTCCAGAAACGCGGACGACGCTAGGGTACAAAGATCTTCCTGTGAAGCATTTGAAAGCATGACGGCGGGCATGGCTGACAGCCAGGCGCGGGCGCGGGAGGCGGGAGCGATCGAGGCCGTCGTCAGCGCCATGTCCAGACACGCGGACGACTGGTGGATACCGCGGGCTGCGTGCTGGGCCGTGACGAACGTAGTGAGTCACATCAAAAAGAGCCAGGCGCGGGCTCGAGAGGCGGGAGCGATCGAGGCCGTCGTCAGCGCCATGACCAGGCACGCAGACAACGCGGGGGTGCAGCAGGCTGCGTGCGAGGCTCTGAAGAACACTGTCAGCTTCAGGGACGAGAGCCAGGCGCGGGCGCGGGAGGCGGGAGCGATCGAGGCCGTCGTCAGCGCCATGTCCACGCACGCAGACGACGCGGGGGTGCAGCAGGCTGCGTGCTGGGCCCTGGACTACACTATCAGCTTCAGCAAGGAGAGCCAGGCGCGGGCACGAGAGGCGGGAGCGATCGAGGCCGTCATGAAATGCCTCCATAGGCACGCGGACGACGCGGGGGTACAGCAGGCTGCGTGTGAGGCCCTGAAGTACACAATGCAGTACTTCCGATACCAGGGCACAGCGAGAGATGCGAAAGCGATCGAGGCCGTCGTCAGCGTCATGACCAGGCACGAGAGCAACGCGAAGATACAGCAAGGACTATGCCAAGTGATGTCAACGATATTCGAGAGCCACAAACAGAACAAGCTCCCGGCCATGCAGGCGGGAGCGATCGAGGCCGTCGTCAGCGCCATGTCCACGCACGCAGACAAGCAATGGCTACAAAATGATGGATGCAAGGCCTTGTGCAGCATGACAGAGGGCATGGCTGACAGCCAGGCGCGGGCGCGGGAGGCGGGAGCGATCGAGGCCGTCGTCAGCGCCATGTCCACGCACGCAGACGAGATGTGCTTGCAGTGGTCAGCATGCGAAGCCCTTGAGAGCATGACGGCGGGCATGGCGGACAGCCAGGCGCGGGCTCGAGAGGCGGGAGCGATCGAGGCCGTTGTCAGCGCCATGTCCACACATGTGGACGACCGATGGCTACAGTGTGACGGATGCAAGGCCTTGCGCAGCATGACGGCGGGCATGGCAGACAGCCAGGCGCGGGCGCGGGAGGCGGGAGCGATCGAGGCGGTAGCGAGGGCGATGCAAAGGCATGAGGGCAGCGGGTGGTTGGAGGATAGCGCGATGGAGGCTCTGAGCAGCCTTGCTAGCGACAACTCGTACAACATCCGACGCATCCGACGGCTCCGAGGCGCCGCCCTGCCTCCCAACATCCCCGACACCCGTGCTTCTGAGGCGCGCCGACGGCTCAGGTCCGTGCTCGAGCGACGCGATGCCGAGTGATGGGGAGGGTCGTGGTGCAGCTGGAGGGGAGGCGGGGATGGCGGGGAAGGGACAGAGCTTGTTCGTGCTGCTAGGGGCAAGAGCTGGCTGTGAGACGAGCGTCGAGCAGGGGGCTGAAGCTTTCTCAGCTTGTCGGTCAATGTTGCGGTCAACAATGATTGTACCTGATAGAAGCGCGTCATGCTCTCTACCTCTCAGCTCTTCTGGACCTCCACCCCCATGTCTGTCTATGTGAGCTAGTGCTCGCTTCTGCTCTACGGCGCAAGCCGACAGCCCAGCTGAGCATGGCAAGACGCCATGCGACATCCGATGCGAGCTCGGGGAGAGAGGGCATGACGACGTCGCTGCTACAGGCGAGGAGGCAGCGGAGGGGATCAAGGACGGAAG